TTTAAATTTTGTGTTTCTTCCTTGGTCAGTCTTGGAAGGTTGTATTTTTCAAGGAAGTTGTCCATTTCTTCTAGGTTTTCCAGCTTGTTAGCATATAAGTTTTCATAGTAGTCTCTAATAATTCTTTGTATTTCTGTGGAGTCTTTCATGATTTTTCCTTTCTTGTTTTTGATTCTGTTGATGTGTGTTGATTCTCACTTTCTCTTAATAAGTTTGGCTAGAGGCTTATCTATTTTGTTTATTCTCTCGAAGAACCAGCTCTTGGTTTCATTGATTTTTTTCTATTGTTTTATACTTCTCATATTTGTTTATTTCTTCTGTGATATTTATTATGTCCCTCCTTCTGCTGATTTTAGGCCTCATTTGTTCTTCTTTTTCCAATTTCAATAATTGTGATGTTAAACTATTCATTTGGGATTGTTCTTCCTTCTTCAAGTGTGCCTGGATTGCTATATACTTTCCTCTTGAGACTGCTTTCACTGTGTCCCACAGAACCTGGAGCTTTGTATTGTTGTTGTCATTTGTTTCCATATATTCCTTGATCTCTATTTTAATTTGTTCGTTGATCCATTGATTATTGAGGAGCATGTTGTTAAGCCTCCATGTGTTTGTGAGCCTTTTTGTTTTCTTTGTACAATTTATTTCTAGCTTTATACCTTTGTGGTCTGAAAAGGTGGTTGGTAGAATTTCAATCTTTTTGAATTTACTGAGGCTCTTTTTGTGGCCTAGTATGTGGTCTGTTCTGGAGAATGTTCCATGTGCACTTGAGAAGAATGTGTATCCTGTTGCTTGTGGATGTAGAGTTCTATAAATGTCTATTAGGTCCATCTGTTCTAGTATGTTGTTCAGTGCCTCCGTGTCCTTATTTATTTTCTGTCCAGTGGATCTATCCTTTGGAGGGAGTGGCGTGTTGTAGTCTCCTAAAATGAATGCATTGCATTCTATTTCCTCCTTTAGTTCTGTTAGTATTTGTTTCACATATGCTGGTGCTTCTGTGTTGGGTGCATATATATTTATAATGGTTATATCCTCTTGTTGGACTGAGCCCTTTATCATTATGTAATGTCCTTCTTTATCTCTTGTTA